GGTGGCATGCGGCGCAGCTGAGATGCTGAGCAGGGCCCCTCCTGGCCAGGAGGCCGACCCACTGACTTATGCGGTAATTTCGCCGTAATTGTCATTAACCTCACAAACAGTAGTTTACCTATTTAGTTGATGCTGGAGAAACCTTGAAGAAATTTGATCGGATCCCCTAGCTGCAGTGGAGATGAGTGTGGAGATCAGGGTCTGGCTCAAGAGAAGCAGGTTACCATGGTAACCCCATCAAACCACCAAGGCTGACTTGGACCTTGCGTCTGGCCAGTGGTGTAGGGACAGCTGGCCCGTAATGACAGGGTCACTTGCCAGAAGCCATCTTTGATCTGTGGTGTGAGTGTTTTTGGGGATTCAGGGGAACCGACCCGTGCTGAGCCCCATTGATACTTTATTGGCCAGTTTATCATGATGCTGACTAAGCTTGAATTGACAGGTGGAGCAGCAGAATGTATTTGTTACTGAACATCCCGTGGGATCCATTTATTTGCCCAACAGAAACCAGCTTGGCTTTAAGCTGTCTGATTTATTAACGTTCGTCTGAGGGCAGCATGAAACAGCGAGGCCAGTGTCTCTGGAACTGAAGCTGAAACACTGACTTACCCCTGCCAGCGACAGTGAGATCAGTCTCTAAGTTCTCTGCTTCGGCATGCATTGTGAATCCTCGCTGAAGTGGCAGGTGTGATCTTTGGGGGCTGTGCTGGGGGTTAGAGTGTATCCAGTGGCATTTGGGGGTGGCCACTGCACTCCTCCTCACCCACAGCCCTGTCTTTCATCGCTACCGCATCCGTGTGTGAATGAGCTGTGGAAAACACTGGCGTTGATCGCTTAGGGATGAAGTGGCCGGGTGCCTTTTGCCAGCGCGGGGCCTGCATTTGCACAAACGGCAGCATTCAGGGTGAGAGAGGGCAGGATTTGGGCGAGAAAGAACTTCTTGTCCCCCTTCTGCCCCACCAACAGCGGCCCACAGTCTCAGCACTGTCCTGGGAGCCTCCATGTCTGACCAGCTCCCCCTAGAGGCCTGTCCCTGCAAACAAAACTCTTTTACACCTGGAAGGAGGGTATCACAGCTCTGACTTGCACCTCGGACCATCTGTGCTTTGACTCCTCTGCACTTTCAATCAGTCAGTCAATCAAGAACATTTTGACCTGAAGACTGAAAAAATCACATTTTGCACTTTGTCTGTTTTGTTTTAATATATGTTCACTGTGCTTTACATTCCTTGCTGCTGTATGCTCAAGAATGTCCCCCTATAATCTCAAAATTAATCTAATCTAATCTAATAATGTTCTTCTCAATATGTTTGGATTCATTGTGGGTTTTATGTGGTTAGTATTTTGAAAGGTTCATTTTAGTGCAATTAATTTGATCTGTATTATTGCACCTTCAATAGAGTATACAGGATTAAATTATTCATTACATATTGCGATTGCCTTGGTAAATTACGTGATCATCGAATGCAATCGTTTTTTTTTTTAAAAAAAAAACTTTTTTCTTGTAATTATCTCTTATGGCCACACGATGGCAATATATACACGCGTACGCTTTATCACCCCGCTAAAATGTTTTCAACACGGGTTCTGAAATATGTCAATCTGTTTACATATTATCAAACTTTTTCTCACTTTAAACTATCTCACATTAACACCATCTTGTATTCCTGCTGTGCGTATACATACGCAGTAGCGGGTGTCTGAGATAAACAGCCGAATTAAAATGGAAAGAGCCACTATCATGTCTGGGGCACATGCCAGCGCAGACTTTTATCTGGGAAACACTGGGCACAATGAGAAGCTCTGTGCCCTCGGTGGACCTAAAACTCCAGGCCAAAAAGCAGCAGAAAGAGGAAGGATGGGGTAGGAGAAGAGACAGGGCTAGCCTGGATGCCAGGACTGTCTGAAGCTTACGGATCTTGCATGCTCCCCAGTCACAAAAGCCCAGCTGCAGCCGGTTAGTGAAAAGCAAGCATAGACGGCGGGGGAGAGTGAGGCCTTAGCAAACGAGCGTAAAAATTGAATAGACGGCGTCACTGAAGTGTGTCGAGCCCCCTATCCTTAGAGCTCATAGATTGTTCTGAGGCTAAATGCAGTGTGTTGTTTTGCCGATTCCATGGTCTGACTGGAGTGACTTTGCATCCCTGGACCACTCTGCCCTGCCTGTCTCATTACAATATAAATGAACTTCCAAGGGGGAAAAGGATGAGGCTGGTGTGTCGGTGCTGAGCGTGACAAAGAGCCGTTGTCGATTTAGCTGGATTTCCCCAGTGGAGAGGAACAAACAGTGGCGGGCTAATTTGATCCTAGCGAGAGAGCAGTTGCTCACTACTGGCTGTGGCGTGACTGTCTTTTCCCAACAGAGTCCGGGTGGAGGTTGAGACCAGCCATGCCACCCGAGGCCTCTGAGCTACAGTCCTGTCTCAAAGCCTTCCTCTTGGATTCTTCTTCCCTTTGATGGCAGCCCATCTCTCAAAGTTTTTTTCATTCAGTGTTTTCTGTTACAGTTTTTTTCTGCCAGTCAAATCTGTGCACTGTACATGATTCTATAAATATTACAGAAGTATCTGTTCTGTAGGTAAAAGCGCTTGCTGACTAACAAAGATGCCAAGCTTTTACTGAACGCTGTACTGACAAAGACAAAGCACATTGCTGTTACATCAGTAGAGAAGAGCAACAAATTGTTATCTATGCGTTTTCACCGATCCACAATGTTTGTCCAGTTCAAGGTGCAGAGACGTGTTATTCTTCTGATCTTTTATTTTCCACAAAGCCTTAACATGTACTGATTAACTATAGCAAATGATAGTGGAAGATTAAGACTAAGTTATTACCAGTAAGTTTCGACAAATAGCTGAGCATGAAATCCACAACGTAGCACTATTTTCTCGTAAAGGTTCGACTGTTTCTTTTTGGTCATCTGCAGCAGTGTTATTTTAGCGATTAGACATGGTGCATTGTGGGAACAGTTTATCACTGTCAAATGACACTTGGCCGCCTTCAATCAAGATCTGTGTTTTTAGTGTGATTCCAGAGCTGGTCCTCTGCCTCCTGCCGCCGTCGTCCAAGCAGACGAGTTGACACAGAAGCCTTCTGTGTCCTGACCGTCAATCGAGAGTCTTGTTTTGACCACAGAACAAGATTGTCCAAAAACATTAGCCTGTTGCTTTAAGGACCGCCCTGACCATACTGGCCCGTTCTCGGATCATGGCAAGCGTATTGAGTTCCCGAGAGACTAGGACCAACCCTGTTACTTAATCTGCGTTGGCTTACACCCGTTTAAAGATTTATAGTCGCATAGCGATCATGGGTTTCAAGCCTGCATCATTATAGTCCAGTATGCTAAGCAGAGCTGACTGAGAGCAGGTGGAGATGGGGGGATTCCATTCTGCGAAAGGCTGGCAGTAAATGAAAGGTTGGTGTTTCATGCCAGCCTTGGGGAGGGGGGTTCAGGCACCTCACTGCGGAAATTTCTTCCACAGTGAGGTGCACTATCATGCACGGTAAGATATAGAGCTCTGGAAAATTCCAGGTCTGGCATTTCCTCATGCATTTGAACACCTACCTCCCCAACCTGAATCTCCTCTCCGTGATAATTCTGCATTTTTGTGTTTCTTGGTTTCTGCTGTGGAGCCATAAGGCATAGGTACGTTTCTTGCCACATGTGGAGAGACTGCTCTCCATTCTCACTAAATGATAGCAATTCCCTCGGAGAAACTGAGCCCGAAACTTTTTCAGAACACGTCCGGTCATTTAACTACTGTGCCACCCGCTGACCAGTAATGGTTATCACACGCACAGACCAGCATTTTCTGTTTCTTGAGGAAACTTATCTTAGGCGTGGTAATAAAGATATGTAAACAGCTGCAAGCTATATTTTCCCTAGTTTTTTCATGGACATGGTTTGTGCTCCTCTGTAAATAACACCATGGTATATTAAGGTCCAAACACAGCGTTGATGCATTAAATGTGTTCACTCAGGATGTTTTTTTCTCTTTTAAATAAATATGGGGTAATTACTTTGTTCCGCGTGTTGGGCATGCTACGGCAGCGTCAGGCTAATCACGACAGCGATTTAATGTGATAAATATTTAAAAAACACAGTACTAATTTGTGAAGATGACGAATGTTCACGTCTGCATGCCTGTTTTTAGTACCCTTAAAGTGCAATACGTTATTTCTATAGAACGTGCCACCTTCTCCTGAAATAGCGTTTTTGGGCAGATACTAAAAAATGAAATTTTGTTAAAGGAAGTGTTTCTGCACTAACCATACAGTAATAAAAACGTTTTCTACTCTTTGGTCATATCCTGAATCCGCTATGTTAAAACGTAGTAAAAATGTAAAGTATGCGGTGCATTATAAATAAAGACATTTATGAATAATAAATTTTTTCGGATATGAGTTTTGTAGTGTGGTTGTTAAGGGTTAAACTAGAGGGTGTGGGGGAATCGGAAGGGGATGATGTCACTTTGGACTCCTGTTGTGCTGGGAAGTACGACTGGGCCCGCTAGTGGAGAAAATAGGTCAGAAAATGGTCTCAGCAACACCGACCCTTTACCCAGACCGACACTCATATATTTACAAGTCAAAGTTTCAGTGCTGTGTCATACTGGCCCGCTAAAACCCATGGATTTTAAATTTACAGTGAACTTAATACAGTATAATGTAGGCCTGTCGCTATTATCAACGGAGTTTGATATTTGGGGGGGGGGGGCAACTTTAATAAGTTGTATTTATTGGGGGGATGAATCCAAATGAAATATTATGGGCTATACACCCCCTGGCCAGATTCCAACGCCACTGGGTAGTATATTAACCCCGACTGACAGAATGTCTGTCTACAGTACATCGATGTCTTTGGGGGCTGAATCACGAAGTTCTGTTCGTGTTATTAGAATTATTTGTCAGCGTGCCACGCGCTATATCCTTTAATAGCCCCTTTTTTAGAAGATGTTGGGGGAAGAGGAGTATCTGTTATGCGCATTAAACGGATGATGTTTCCCAAATTAAAAAAATAAAAGTTTTAACAGCTAAAGGATCATCACACGTGAAATAGACCAGTCAGCTCATAGTATGTCCCGGGACCAGGCAGCATTAAGGGAAGGGGATAGAAACAATACGGCGGTTTGTGTGCACGCAGCTGGGCTGATCCCCAGGAGGGAGACTGGGATTGGGATGTGCCCTTTTTAAGCAACGATCAGTGACATGCACTTTCAAGCCCCCCGGACACCTGCAAGGCTGCGAAGGATGTGAGACTTTCCCCGGTGCAGTTTGCTGCGCGGCTCCAGCTCCAGCTGCCAAGACGCGTTTGCGGAAAACGAAAAGTCTGAAAAATGCGCATTGCTGCCAGCATCGCTTCCCGGACGATCGAGCTCAGCACCTGAACGACATTTAATATTTAGGAGGTCAGATGGGGAGGATACCCGATCCCCTTTTGTCCGCTGACTTGCCCGGCGGTCAACAGCTTCTCCTGCGCCGTGACTCAGCTTAGTGTACGCAGATGTTTGCAGCACCGCCTGAAATACACACGACACCACCTCATCAGAATCTGTCAAACGCATCTTATGTTAAAATGCCAACGGTATTGCATGTCGCCTGCATCTTTCTAGCAGTTCATACCGATAGACCCACGAAGAGGAATTAATTCCCCCCCCGTTTTTTCTTTCTTTCTTTTTTCTTTGGCAAGAAGAGTCCTGGATGCTTTTTGCGGGACTTGTACTCCAGGACTGTATTTGTCTTGTTCTCCATACAATCGCTGAACAACAGCTTCTTTCAGTGCTTGTTTTTAAAAAAGACTTTACACCTGTCAAGGCTTTTCAGTATTAATGAGGCGAGACCTGGGATGTGGTGCATTTATTTTTTCTTTTTTTAAACTTTCTTTTAGACACCGTTAGAAATGAGGCAAGCTCCCATTTTGGGGGAAATTTTATGCATGCGAGAAAACTAACACTGTCAGCGTAATTCGGAGCCGAACCTATTTCCGATTTGTAATCTGGGCAATTATGTAGGGCGGAAGAGGGGCGAAGAGATGGATGACAGCGTCGCACATGGCACCTCCGCCGGGAAGGATGGCGAGCGGAGCCCGGCTGGTGATTTGGATGAGGTGCAGATGCACCTTACCTGCTTGCCCGAGCGTTACATGAGGGCCAAATTCACCTTGTCAGCATATATTCTCTGCTGGACTGTACTGAAGTTATGCCAGGTAAGAGGGATGTTCGCGGTAACGAAACTACGCATCCTGCCCCCAGCCGTCGGCTGGAGTTCATCACCTCCATATAGTATCTTAATGTTGAAACCCGATAATCGGTTCTTTATGATGTTTACTCGTTATTATACGTCTTGTCCAAGGTTGCTCATAATCAGCTCTACCACCAACGACCAAGCGGCAAACTCTTTCCTCATACCGACAAGTAAACAGTTGACAATTATAATTGGTAATTATTTTGGACTCTAAAACTTCTGATTACAATGGATGGGTGATGTGTTATGGATATGTACTAATGTGTATTTACATATACAGGGAACCTATCTGTTTATTAAGTGAATTGAAAGGTGGTTATCATACATTTTTGTTCACCTGTGTTTGTGTAGTCCTGTTGTCGGCAGGAGGCTATTATCTGTTGGGGGGGTTGGTGAATTCTGAGGGGATGATAGACGCAACACAGGTCAGGATGTTTAAACTTAGTGTGCAGAGGAATTCATTTATGTCCAGAATGTGCCTGGATGAAATGTGTCAGAGCTGTTCACCCATCTAAGCCTGATGAGAACGCTCTGGTAACGGGGTACAGGCGGGTATGAGCTTAAAGCCGTGGTGGGGAGCACCTCAGCACTCACAGATGGCTTCAGTTTCTCAAAAAAAACACATCGAAGAATGGTGACTCGATAGGTAGCCCCGTGGCCCAACAGCCCAAAGGCAGGAGCTTGGTTTGAGTGAACTGGTGACTCTAAAAGTGGCCTGTGATGGCCTGGCATCCCATCCACATTGTACCCTGTCTCGTACCATTTATCCCCAGGGATAATCTCCACACTTGCTGGGTAATTGGTTACGGAATAGTTAAAGTACATCTTGGCAAGATCTTGCATGCAAATTGAAAGTTTAAAAAGCTGTAAAGGGAATACAGCTGGCTTGCTTGTGATTACGGAGGCTACTACAGACTTTCCAAGAACGGCATTCGCTTTGCTACAAACGGGCATTATTTTATGATGGCAAAACAGGCAAGGATGTAGCTCTGTGACTCATGGCAAGCCGGGGAGCCCAGAGTCTCATTTAGCCTGGAGGCCTGAGGCTCCTTTGGGTCACCAAAAGGGACCCGGGTGTCATGGTTTACTCATGGGAGTGTACAGAATAAGAACCAGTCTTCAGCCGCAACTGCCACGGCCTTTTTTGCTTCTCGCCGGTGGCGTAAAAGATTAAAATGCCAGCGGAGATGTTGCGAGAGCGCCAAAAGGGTCCACATCTGCTCTAAAAATAGCAGCGTGATTTATATATAAATAAAAGTCCGGCCTCGTTATACTCGACACGGCTCCTGCCTCTCCATTTGTCCGTTTGGGTCTGTTGACAGCACCCGTTGCACGTCAGGGAGCCGCTCACCATGACTTATACCAGGATACGATCCGTCTGTGACATGCAGGGTTCCGGAAGTTTCCGCCATTACCCCTTGTAGGAAAATAAACATTCAGGAGGCATGGTGCCAGCCAGGGGCGTCGGAGGGCATCGAAGGGCCAAGAGAGGCCCAGCACTTTATACAGGCCCCAAAATATTAGTTTATGGGTCAGGTCAACTAAATGTCCTGAGCCACTTCCCACCCCGATGTCACATTCTGTCAGGGGGCCCAGATTTCCAAGTAGCGCCGCTGGTGACAACATACATATTCTAGTTATTTGTTTATGGAATCGTACGCTTTTTGGTTTCATCAAAGTATAAACAACTGTTTTTTTATGCTAGAAGCAGGAAAATTTTACTTCTAGACGTACTGTAGTGAAGCAGGAGCATGTCGAGACATTTGTGTGGATATTTTAGTATAACTTGGCAAATTATGACCAGTTACGGCTATTTTCGTCATGGTCCAAAAAGAAGCTGACGTCAAAGCTGTCAGGTGACCAGAACTGTCTTCTCGACATTACCTGTATCTTGGGTAGGTCTGATCCGCTGCCATACTTGAACTGCTGTGGGGGAGGGGGGGGGGGTTAATGCCCAAAAATATGCTCAGCGTCTGCCTTGTTATTCTGCGCCCCTTACAGCAGCAGCTCAGCGACCCCCTTTCACATGGCAGCATGACATTTTTACTTTTATTTTTATTTAGAAGCTTTTATCCAGAGCAACATTTTGAGAAAGTATGATCAGACAGTCCCAGTCCAACTGGGGGGTAAAGGCCTTGCTCATGGAACCAGTGGTGAAATCACTACCAAGCATGGGATTTGAACCTGCAACCTTCCGATCACAAGTTTAGCATCCTAACCTGCCGGAACTGCTGCGTCTGCCAGGGGATCTGGATCAGTTGGTGACATCACACAGCTGCAGGAGAGGTCAAAGGTGACCGTACCAAAACTTCTCTCCCCCCCGAGCTTTCGGCACACATCATCCTTGCCAAACACCCACGTTCGCCAACGGGAATGGCGGGAAATTGGCAGACAGACTGAGCGGTGGGAGTTTCCCCATAAAGCGTGCCAGTTCACACCAGCTTGTGAAGCAGTGTGATGTGGCATGTCAAATCACGTCAGACACGTGAACCGGTTTTCTTAAAAGTGAAAGACTTTCATAGTGTCAAATTACCCTGGAAACGTCTAGGTTTAGGGTCGCTCTTGCACGGAATACTTAAAATGTTCCAAAGTTTTAGAAACACCAGGTCGAGAAGTGTGTGTTTCCAATATGCATCCATGCTGCGTAATATGTTTTACGGAAAGGTAAGAGATATCAGGGTGAATCAGTGAGCCGCAAGGTGATTGCGATAAACAGACTGAACGATTTGCAACTAAGAAACGTGGGTGTGGTATTTCTCAGCTTGTCTGTAACAGTTTAAGGGATTTTTTAAAAATGCTTAATACTTGCTTTTATTGCCAGGATACTTTAAGGGTTGTGAAGTAGAGAAGAAAAATTGTAGCCAAGTTTGCTGATGTATTTACCCCCTTTTGGGAGGAAGGCAGCCTGTTCGCATATTTTGCAGTAGCATTACAATAAATTCCTTTGTTTTGCAACGGACCCTAACCCTGCTTAATACGCTGCCGTGTTTGTTTTGCAGAGACTGGGATGCTCACAAACCAGGGGTCAGGTAAGCTTTCTTGCTGACCTTACAGTCACTTTCTAATTTTTTTTTCCTGTTTTGTTTAATAATCCACAAACGTTTTGGTTCAGTAAGCGCTATCTCGCCTTTATATTAAAGAGCCAGTTTTATTTTCTTTTTTCTGAATATGCAAAATGAGGGCGTAGGCCCGAAGCAGAAACGGAAAAGCAACAGTGATTATCCTCTCCGCCGACAAACACTCCCAGCTGAATCAACAGAAATATCGCCCAAACAAAGGCTGTGGGAATCCGCTCTCGAAAAAGAGATGTCCCCAGTTTGCAGCGTGTCGTCAGTGCCCGTTACCGGAAACAGAGGGCCGGAAATGGTGTTTGTACACAGAATGGTTCTTAGAGATGGTGATTAACGAGTTATACAGGTGTTCTGCGTTTTAGAATCTAGCAGCACATGTTTGTCTTCCATAACAGCAATTCCAGACCATCTATATAAGGAAATAGCAGAACAATTATTTTAAAACTATGAAATTACATAATTTGTATATTGTTTATGTCATCAATATACCCCAATATAGTGCCACATACAGTGGTAACTGCTGGTTAAAATTCAGATTAAATTGTTGCAGGTATAAGCTGATATAGGTATATTCTGAATTCTGAATTATTGAATCAGTCATTACTTTATCCAAATGTATTCGTTTTTGCACTGCACATGATTGTGGGTAAAACAGAATGATACCGTACCTGAAAAGCCACCTTCAAGGTGTCTGTTGATGAAGGTGTCTTCTACAGCTTGAATGAGATGAGAACGTCTCCATTGGTGTTTCCGCGTGTCAGGGTCATGCGGGGAGTTTGGTTCTGCTTGGGTTCCGTTTGGTTTCGATGATGCCCCCGTCGTAGCGGAGCCACTTGTAGTAACATAGCGGAAAAGAATGCAAGTGGAATGTCTGATGTACCTCTTGTTGTTTTTGTTTGTCAAACTCGTGACCTGAAGCATGTTTGGCATCGAGGGCAGTATGTTTGAAATGCATCTCGGAGATCTCGACTTTAATGGTGCATTTGTTCTGTAAACCGTTTACTGTCGTTTTATTCTGACAATGTGGGGGAGGTTCCTAGCGGTAAAGCTCTTTAACAGCTCACTAGTTGTGATACGCCATGCTTGGGTCACAAAGGCTTCGCAAATTCTTCCCCTTAGTCAAGTATCTCCACAGCACACTGTCTCTGACCTTCGGCAGAGCAGGAACGTGCAATGTGGTGAGGGGGAGGACCTTGGCTTTGGGTGAAAGGCCCAACACGTCAAAGGAGACCTCAGGCAGGGCAAAAGCCTGCAATGGTCTCTGGGTAAACAATGCAGCCCCTTGTGATTGCCTTGGTTTGACCTCAAAGATCATGCTGCAAATCTGGGGTTAAATTCTTGGCCTGGAAACCAAGTGACAGAGAAAACGAGAAAAAACATGCTCCGTAAATCGCTTTTGTTTACGGCTGTCGATGCCAGGTGTCACTCAGTTTTCGGTGACGGGAAGGATAGCGTGGCAAAGTCAGGAAATGAGCCGCCGCCTTGTGACAGACGGCGTGTCCTGGTACTCAGCCACTGGTACCCAGTGGCCTTCTTTCACAAGATTCCTCCCGGCAACCAGAGCTCCAGGCTTGTCCAGACTGGCCGTCTGCCCGGTGACCTATCACACAGTCTGAAGTGGTAGAAGGTCGCTCGATCACAGAATGCCGGTCACGGGTCTGCCAGCGTCCAGGAAGCACTGGCCACGGAGTCTGTATTCGTATCGGTGGAAGTGTGGGTCACTGAAAGGGAGGAGTCACTGCCCAGCAGGCCCCTCAAATGCTCTTCACGACTCCGTCATGCCACCCTACCCCCCACAGCTACTGAATCTTTTTCCTGGCATTTCATTGGCCGGGGAGGGTGCCCAGGACAGCACTGTGGTGCCAGACCTATTCAGCTGCTCCACTGACTGATTCATATGCCCTACTTACCCTGTAGACAATTGCCTCTCAGGCTACCGCATGCGCATTGGCATTATTATTCATCTATTAAGCGCTTTTATTCAAAGTGGAATTCTTTTGTGTAAATCGAATGCTTCTATTAATAGGGCAGGATAAATTGAAGTGCTTTGCGGTACAACAGCAGAGGCTTTTCTGGGAAGGAAATATATAGTCTTTTTACTCTTTAAAGCTCCTTTACTTGTGTGCTTCTGACTCCTCTAGGGTTTTTTTTCAAGGCTTAGGGATTTAAAATCCTTCCCGTCTTGGTTAGTGGAGACCCCGGTCCCGGACATGGATCCACTGTCTCGTGGTGCAGTGGATTTTCAACACATGGTGAATGTGTTGGAATGGGTTGGAATGGGTTTTGTAGGCCCTGTACATGTCCCACCTGTCCGCGGTCTGGCTGGGGGGGCAATCAGCACCCTCTTTGCCTCACAAACACCTCCGGTTGAATGGGGATGAACCCTGGTTGCCCTACCTATCCTCGAGCTACGCTGGAGCTCATGCTTTCACCCCCAGAGGCTGTTTCTTCTCCTGATTGGTTTGTTCTGCCGCTCAGAGATTTTTCATTTCTGGACAGACTTGTTTTCTCCTGTTTTTTTTTTTTGCTCTGGGGATGGGCTTCTTCCCCGTCTTGTTTTTTTTTTTTTCTTCTTCCTCTCCTTTTCACGGACTGGAGCATGAGCATGGCACTTTCAGTTTGATGAGTAGTTTAAGTAATGTCGGGGTGCGGGATCCTCCACGCCGTACCGCAGAGCGGAATAGCGGCCACCGGGGTACCCGGGAGGGGCTGTGCAAGCGGACCCGTGCCACAGGTAAGGGGGCGAGGGGCACTATAGGTGGATGGCAGGTGGGCTCATGGCTGAAAGGTGGTGAGTTCAAAGACCAGTAAGGGAAATGAGCGTAGTTTATAACTCGAAATGTTGTCAGTTGTGTAAATTGCCGACCTTTTGAGTCAGTTGAAATAACAGTGCTTACTAGGCAACTAACAAAACTGAATATAAGAGGTAATCGTGTCTTGTGGAAAGGGGAGCGTTGATGTAATGGGGATTTTGTAGATGGGTCCTGTTTTTACTGGTACTGGTGTTCAAGAAAGGGCAGGTCTGCTCAGCCTCCGACATGTTTCAGATAGCATTATGACAGTGGTTCCATATCAGCCAAGCCCCGGTTCCTGGTGCTCCTTCTGTGCCGGCCTTTGTTAAATTAGTCCCCTGTGGTGTTATGTAGTTGTTTGTTGGAGTTGTTGTTTTCTTGCCTATGCTATGTTCTGTACGGCGTAAGCATGACCGGGCCAAACAGTTCAGGAGCCGATATGGAACGTCGCCATAACAGACCTGAGGACCGGCAGCCAAGCTCGGCTTGGGAACGAGGCTCCGTGCAGAGAAAGGCTCGCATTCCTGTTGCGAGACCTTCTTCACGCTGGCAGGGAAGAGTGCTTTCGGGATATTTCAGAGCTCTGTTGATATAAGAGTGTTTCTCCGGAATTCTCATGGACACAGACACTGCGAAACAATAAGAGCTGTCAATGGACCACTGCATCCCGTAACTGCGGCAGCTGGGTGCACAAGATGTGCGTGATCAAATGATAACCGTTTGAAAAGGCCTGCTAAGATATGTATCTCAGGGCCCTTCATGAAGAAAGAGAGAGAGAGAGAGACATAGAACAAAACCCAGGAAGACACCCTGGGATGTCTGCTTCTGTCCCATCTGTAGCTAGAGAACACTTGAGACATATTTTGAGATGTATGGAGACAGTATTCCATTAAACAGCAAGACCTCTGAACCAGACAGAGATAAAGTTTCCTCAAATATCGAACTGTTTATTCCGTTTATCAGGAGGGACTCATTTTGCAAATCAAGAGCAGACTTTGCAAGTACTGTCAGGATTTCAGACAGTCAATGTTGGCAAAATGAAAGACAACAGTATAAACCAGCCCTACGTAAAAGAAATAAGGTCAGAGAACATTCATGTGCAGTGAGTTTTCCTTGTGTTGTTATCATGAGAGTGGATCTGGATGGATCCTCAACTGGATAACTGTCCGGCCTGCTCTGGTGTGTCTGTGTGTTTGTGTGTGTTTGACAGCAGCAGTGATGTCTGTTACCTTTTTAATATCTTACCGTGTGCCTTTGACAGCGGTCATTTCAGTGAAACCGTGCAGTGAAGTCCTGCAACAGTCATTTCAGTGAAACCGTGCAGTGAAGTCCTGCAGCAGTCATTTCAGTGAAACCGTGCAGTGAAGTCCTGCAGCAGTCATTTCAGTGAAACCGTGCAGTGAAGTCCTGCAGCAGTCATTTCAGTGAAACCGTGCAGTGAAGTCCTGTCCAGTCAGGCGGCCCAAATCTTCTGGACCGTCTGTTATTCCATGTTCTTCTGGAGACACAAAGGTCTCCAGGGCTCTGGCAGGAGGATCCAACCATCAGAAGCAGCTGTTGTCACACTTAAGCCCTTCGATGAGCTGAATGATGACAGAGCCGGGGGTTTAAAATGACAAACATAGCATGGAGTTGGGTGGGGATGCAGGGTTTGCCATTGGCCAGAGCCGTGAAAGACAGGACCGTTCGTGTGGCCCTTCTCTGCTTCGCTCACTTTCCTGCTTAACACAAGAACATGCCCCGGTATAGTTACAGTGTCCCACAAGGCCAAAGATTACGGTTTGGTGCTAGGGGCATGGGTATTTAGATTGAAGGATGATTCATGTTGCCTTTGTTGTCATAGTTTGACTGTTCCTGCTTTGTGCTGCCCTCGATGTAAGCGATATCATGGCGTCTCCTGTGTTTGTGCCCCTTCGCTCTATTCACTCGTCTCCTCTGCCTCTCTTTTGCAGTCCCCCTTTCTCTTCCTTTACCTCTCTTTTTGTTTTTCTCTCCCACGTCCTTCTGCACTGTACTGGCCAAACAGTCATCTAACCCTCCCAAGGGCAACCCACCACCGAGTCACAAGGGGGCCTGTTTTAGCCTGAGCTCAGAGAGGGGAGTGGGTTGCCACGACAACAGGGGAACCTTCCATACTCTTCGGTAGCCCATGCCCCTGTGACTTTG